GGCATTGCTTCCTTCTCTTCAAGTGTGGTCTGCCGACACCAGAGGATACCCTCTCCATATGATGGACTCCAGCATTCGAGACAAACCCTTTCCTGCTCTTCAAGTGTGGTCTGCCGACACCAGAGGATACCCTCTCCATATGATGGACTCCAGCATTCGAGACAAAGCCTTTCCTCCTCTTGACTTACATAGGTTAAACTCCAGAGCTGAGGTTGCTCAGTATAGGTAGCTCTTCACATGCTGAATTCAAGCATCAGAGGATTCAGCTGACTACTTCCACTGCATATTTCTAGGAGTTTTGGGCGCAATCAGATGCTATCAGGTTCGAGCAAAAAGAAGAGTTTCTTTCCTTTGATTTTTCGTAAGACGTCATTGAACGCAACTGGACAGGAGCGCTGAAGGAAGCCCACTGATCCCTGAATCCACAAGGACACATAAAGAACTCGGCTCCTGCAACCAGAAGACCCTATAGAGCAGCGCTCTGGTCGAAGATCTGAATCCCGCTACCCTCCTCCTACATCTGCCACGAAGGAAACCTGCCTGAATCTGTTGATTTAACATTCAACAGAGTGACGATCTAACCAACTTTGCAACGATCACCAGGAGTTACCCCAAGTAAGAGCTTTGGTCTGGGCAGAAATAGTTTCAGAAATAGTTATGTTTCTTTTATAACCACTGATAATTATGCATCATTGTTGACGACACGTCACATTCTGTATATTATCTGTTGTAAGCTACTGCATTTGTTTTATTGTAATGAACTGCTGTGTTCGTCTATGTGTTTAATGCTATGCTAGTTTACCTTCAGTCAACGGCTTTCACAATCAGAAAGACCAGTGTACCCGCCGTTGAATCAAAGTCCGGCCACTGGCTTTCTGGTGTTTAAGTAACAGTTACTGAACTCAGCTCAGAGAGCTCAAACTATTTCAAAAGGTAGCCACACGGCTTCCTTTGTTGTCCACCATTTTGTCACCATGTGACGAAGCCACATGGTGCATTGTCTCTCTCCACCATCTTGTTCTCTCTCTCTCTCTCTCTCTCTCTCTCTCTCTCACACACACACATCTACATACATACTCATCTGCACACACACACATTTACACCTCATCCACAAGCCTTGTTTGATAATGTTTGTTGCTTAGATTAGTTTATAATAGTTATTTGTTTAATTAAGTTCATTGATTTTGGATTGGTGTTGCTTTGTTTAAATAAATTCTGTTATAATTTAAGAGAGCAGTTGTTTGTGGTTACAAGTGTATTTGCATTGTGATATAAGCTGGGTGAGAAGGCTTTGTGTACGGATTTCACGCCTTCAATTTATTAAATATAGTTATTCATTATTAATAATATTAGTAATTAAATAACTAATGTGAGACTGATTTGAGTGATATTTTGGTTATATTTACCTGATTACAGGTTGGTGCCCCAAAACGAGATTAAACATAGTTTAATGATATTTTATTTATATTATTAATAATTAAGTATAATTATTAAAGAATATAACCAAAGTTGACTTGATACAACCCCAACACTGTTAAGCAGAAAGAGAACGGAAACATCACACATACATCATACAAAACTTAATGCATCAGCATTTCTGGTTCCCTTTTTCTGGAGATGTTATCTTGTTCTCTCATGAAGGAAATAAAGACTCTTACAGCTGGAAGTTACTGAATTCTGCAGCTTTAGGTATTCAGAACTTCTCTTACTGTAAAATACTCCAAAAATCTTCACTGTTTGTGAAAAATGATGCAGACGGATGTTGAATGTATGAAAACATTAAAAACACATCGTAAGACTTAGAAACTTAGTGAGACAAAACAATCTAATTATAGAAAGAAACAGAAGCAAACATGTCTTTAACAGTTTGAATCATATCTAACACTCAATCTAAAAAACCTGAACATTAAAGAGTCTACTCTTTTATCATTTTAAAAACAATTTAAGCCTTATCCAAATACGTTCAGTGATGAAAGTTTTAGTGAGGATATACAGTACCTGACACAGAGAGAAGGAAGATAACCAATCCACTCACTGCTGCTTTCAAACTCATAGCTGCTCCTCTCATCCCTGTGTGACTTCAGAGTAAATAAAACACATTAACAGAAGGTCTGTACATGTTTCAATAAATGGCATATCATTGAATAGTTCTACTTACAACAGGGAGGAGATGTCGTCTCTACAGCAAATGTTCCTCTGTGGTCATCAGAAGTCAAGCTGTTAAAGTTTGTCTTACTTCCTCTTCACATTATGAATATGGATGAAGTTACAGACTGGCGTCCAGTACTGACGTTATTTTAAAAAAGAATCTAAGGCACTAACGAGGTTGGCTTTCTAAGGATAAGAATATCAAGAATCTTTAATGTAACTCCATGTAAAGACACCATCAGACAGCAGTTCAGATAAATGTGTGAGAATGCAGCCAATGAAACGTGTTCGATCAGCAGCTGCAGCAGACAATAAGCTTACTTGGTTTAACTATGGGTGCAAACAGGCGGAGTTTGAGAGAAGAACCACAACTCTGACCTAAAACAAAAAGATGAATTTTGAACGTGCAAGTACACTGGCAGGATGTCAGAATAAGGCAGTGGTTAAGTTGCCCCAATCTAGTCTAGCAGAAATTTTAAATGTTCCTTTGTGACTTTAGAGTCTGTAACCTGATGCACACTGCCTCAAAAAGATTGTTTTTCAAATACTTGATAAGAGTTACCTGTGAAGCAGTTGATGTTTTTAACAAACCTCATGACTTATTAAAAGGAGAAACACCTTGTCTGCAAGCAACTCTTTTGATGTTTCAGCTCAGCATTATGAGAAAGCAGATTGTATGAATGGAAATTTACAGCCCTAAAGTCCAGTTCGTTTGACCAGTGAGAATGCTCCGATCCTTCCTTGGCCATGGCATGATTCAAAGAGGTGTGCTTCAGCACGGTACAGTTCATGCATGAGCACAAGTACACAGGTACACAACGTGGACAGCCTTCATTATGGAGACATCCCGGAGTGTGACTCAATGACTCAAAATAAGCCACAAAGTCAGTAAAGTAGCTGACATGTTCTCTGTGTTGTTCTCTGAGGAAAGGAAGAACACCCGACAGCGCGTCTCTTTCTTTTTTTTTATCAAGTAAGCCTGTCTTGTAAACTAAGCACGCTTCATGATAACATAAAGCCATGCCTGTGTTGTATTACAACCTTATGTACAAGAGGTAAACTCGCTCAGGCCCGGTTAGTCCTTGAGCAGTGTGAGTGCAGGCCAGCAGGGGAATGAGCTGTGGGGCGAGTCTCTTCAAGTAATACCCACGGACTCTGACGAGCAGGGGATCATATCCCACATACGTAATGTAACAAGATGGAGAGATAGTCTCTACACTGAGAGAACCAAGGTGACAATGTAACACTACCTTCTAGGGCTGGAAGTCTCACGATTCAATTTGATTTCCTTTCTAGGTCTCATGAATCGATTCAGAATCTTTTTTCGATTCAAAACGATTCTGAATTCCTGATACAAAGTCTATTTTTGAATTAGTACATACTTCAGGATCTACTCCAGTCATTTGTTAGATTGGCAAATTTTTCTTACTGCTCCATTTGGCATTCTACTGAGTTAAAGAGCTAGCCTTAGATTTAGCAGATAGTGACTGATTAGCCAAAAGAAGATTTTTGGAAGTTATGAATCTCGATTTTTACATGAATACATTTTTTCCCACCTCTCCTACCTTCCATGAGCATGTGTGACATCACATGAAAGCTATGAATTGATTAGAGAGTTTGTGCTTTTCTTAGATAGTTCACTTTGTGATAAGTTTGAGGTAAGTGTGAAAGCTATGAGGTGCAATAAACAGACCAGACACTAATACTTAAAGATAATTATATAAAGTCAATACAACTCCTCAGCTCACTTTCTTTTTCTCTTCCAGATTAAATAATAGGTCATTTTCTTCATTCTTCATGTCTCCATTATATCAAGCTTTTTAAATATTGTCTGAGGACATATTTAAAACCAGAGGAGGGCATGTTAGTTCAATAGAGCCTCCTTTCCTCTCTTGTAAATATTGTGTGGGTCTTTTTCAAACCGGCCACTACACCTCTCCCTCCCCACTACCCCTCTGTTTCTGCGTCCTCGCTGAGGGTCCGCCATATTAAGTCTGTCCCAAACCAATTAGCGGGGAGTGGTAGTGGGTTGTAAAACCTCCACCAGCGAGTCTGCACCGATGACCACTTTCGGATCACGTGCAACGCCTCTTGTGTCCGGTCGTCATGGAGACAGCAACCTGTGAGTTCAAACACTGCTCCAACTAAGATAGACATTTAATATCATCATACAGACGTTAACAACTTCAAATGTGTTCTGAGGATCAAATATCTGTTTATTTATTGTAAAGTGTTTTATATTTACAGGGACTGTTGCAAAAACAAAAGAACATTAAATCATGTTGAAGACAACTTTTCACTCTTAATATTTATTTCTTATTTTTCTACTTTTGATGTCTTTGTGAAATCTCAATTCAACAACAAAAAACTTTTTGCTGCTCTGATGTTCAACAATATTATTCTTGTCTTTGCATTAATTTAGGACACTCTGTTCTATGAAATTACAATAAATTAACTGAAATTATAAATGACAATAAACAATGTAGGCTCAATCTAATAGTTTTAATAATAATAATAAATAATAATACATTTTGTTTATAAGCGCCTTTCAAGACAAACAAGGACACTGTACAATAATCAACATTTAAAAAACAACGATGGATAAAATCAGCATACAATAAAAGAAATGAAATGTAGGACAGTGACAGGATCCGTAAAGTTACCTCGTGTCATGTTTTGTTTTTTACTCAATTATTTAGTATTTTTGTCTGTTCCTGTTTTATTTTGTACTTCCCCTTGTCTCTGTCTTTCAGATCCTGCTCCTCATGTGTTCCTGCCCTGATTGTGTTCACCTGTGTCTAGTTATCACCTGATTGTCTGTGTGTATATATCTCTGTGTTTCCTCCCTCATGTTACCAGTTTGTAGTGTTTTCCTGTGTGTCACCTTGTTCCAGCATTGTTTCCTAGTAGACTTATAGTGATTTTTGACCGTGCCTGCCTTACTGTTTTGCCTTCTGCCTGCTCCCTTTGGATTTTTTTGCCTTGAAGAATTGACTGCCCGTGTACCGACCTGGACTGTTATTAAACTCTACCTTTTCCTGAACTCAGCCACGTGTGAGTCTGCTTTTGAGTCCCTGTCTCTATCTGGTTCTGATACAGGTCACCTTACAGAGCAGAGATGAAAACAACACAACACTCAAATGAACATTAAAAACACAAATGTACAGGATGTGAAGGAGTCATGAGACCGGGCGGAGAATGAGCAGACTGAATATGCCAGTTTAAAAAGATGTGTTTTGAGATGAGATTTGAAAATGGAGAGAGAGTCGATGTTACGGATTTGTGGTGGGAGGGAGTTCCAGAGGTGGGAACGCGACACTCCGAGAGGCCGAGAGAGTACAACCCTGCAGATATTATTCAGAACAGACTGAGACGTAGCGTGAGGCTGTATCGTTAGCGGTTCATAGGTTTGACAGGTTTTCCTTTGTTCCTTTTTCAGAGCACATGAGTTATTAATGTCTGTCAGGACCCAGAATCTTAAAAAGTGTAAGTAGTAGTTCTTTAATTAGTTTCTGTTTGAGGTTTTCTGTGATTACCTCCCTGAGGAGGTGAGACTCACAGATTCCCTCAATTCTTTTAAATCCCTTCTCTTAAAACATACTTTTACAGACTTGCTTTTATGTGATGTCGTCTTCTTAATGTCTTCTTACTGGTTTGACTATTTTATCTTCTTTACTTCTTACTGTCCTTTTATTTATGCTCTTATCTTAACTCCTTATGTTTTAACTTGGTCATTTTTTTTATCTTACTTTGTCTTTTTATGTTTTTATATGAATATATACTTTTTATTATTATTAATATTATTGGTTTTTTTTATCCTTTAATCACTTGTTTCTATTTCTTTTCCTGCTCTTACCTTCGTATTGCTGTTATCTTTTTATTTGTTTTTATCTCTTTTAGTTTCTTACATTTTTTTAAATCTTTGGTCCTCTTGGTGTCAGCTCGTGTTGTTGGGTTCTTGTGTTGCCTGGGTTCTTCTGATGGTTCTTCTGATGGTTCTTATGATGGTTCTTGTGATGGTCGGGTTATATATGTCTGTTGGGTATCGTGCACTTTGGGTTCTTTTCTGTTGAATCTGTTGCATTTGTTTGTTGTTGCTGTTGTTTCTGTTCTTCTGTGTTTGGTTTCGTTTGCTTTGTTCTTGTTTTTGCTGTTTGTCAAAGCACTTTGTAAACCTGTGTTTTTAAAAGGTGTTGTATAAATAAAGTTTTATTTATTTGTATTTTTATTTTTTTTATCGTCTAACACGCTCAGTCTGAAATAAAAACCTGTTTTCTGTAATGATAACTGTGTTTGTTCTAAAAGGGGGAATCCACTCCCACGCACTCAGCAGCACAAAAACAATTCACTAGAAAGATTCAGATTCAGATTTGACTCCCTGCATGTGGCCTCTCAAACATCCAGAGGTGATTCAATCATTTGCAGTAACTATTAATCTCGATGAATGTACAGTATCTCTGAGATGAATGCTGTTTCTCATCCTCAC